AAAAAAAAAAAAAAAAAAAAAAAAAAAGTTGTCGGGGCAAAAATGATAAATTACAAGGACTTCTTTGAAATATTTGAAAAAATATGGGCTAAAGTGCCAATTTCTATAACTGGTGTGGGGGCAGTTGAACTCACTACCCCCATACCAGATCCACCCCTGTTTATTCTATCATGTTTTCTTACTTAATATTTGTGAAAGTGTTTTCAAAAATCTTCAAATGCACTTTTTCAAGTAAAAAAATGTTTTTTTATCTAGCCATCCACGTGTCAGCCTATTACGGGCCATTTCTCCTTCACTTGGACTTGTGTTTGTTTAGATTAATATGGGCCGTTGATTAAGATTGGATGGCCAAGATTTAGATCTATTCTCTAATATTAATTAGGCCCGTTTCTGAGAGAGAGACTTTTCTTGGGTACGGCTATTTACATCCACGGTTTTTATATATTCATCCCACTCTATATTCATCCCTACTAAAATATTAAAATTTTATAAAATTACTATTGTCATCCACGTTAAATTCCGATATCATCATTATTGAATTAATTCATTTAAACACTATCTATCCACCAAATTTTATATATTCATCTAACTCTAAATACATCCCTAAAACAATGTCAAAATCTTTAAAAAAATCGCTATATTCATCCCCATTACATATAAAATCAACCTCCTTACAATTCCATAATTAACCCCCTTCATTCAGTACGAAGCATTCTGATTTCTTTAGTTTCCTTTCTTAATTTTCATTTCTGGTTTTGTGTAGTCTTTTACTACATTTGTTACTCCATAAATCTTGTTATTTAATTACGTTCCTGCGGGTTAAGTCTTGTTCATTTGTTCGTTTATACAAACAACCGTTTTACCGCTCATATATAAGCATGTTTCCAACACTACCTTCGAGAATGGTTTCTGTGTTGGAAGTCTCCAAGAGTCGATCCTTTCACGGTAGTGAAGAATAAATTCACAGATAATGGAAAGGTTGCTTTATTAGGCCAGCGGGAATGGAGGCCTAAATCCCTTGTAACAGTTTCGGAAGAGTACGAAACAAAGACCACTGGTGCCACACCCAAGTTGGGCCTAGCCATTGCTCTCAAGCTGTGAGTTTATGGAGCTTCGTTAGATACTATAACCTTAAATACAATTTTTTTACAGCCACAGTGGCTTAAATTTTCACCATCACTCCCCAAGGACCTGGAAAAATCAGGCCATTCTGGATCATATTATATGACAACCACTTAAAAGAACTTTTACGTTAAGGTTAAGCTCTAAATTTATTACAGCATTGCCATGTATGTCAAATAAAACAACGTTTTGGTGTAGGATCTGTTAGGCCCATCTCTTGGAACTTGCGAATTTCAATGATTATTACTACCTTCCAAAAAAAATGTATTTCATCTAATGGTATCTCTTCCATTGTTGTTTTGATTTCAGTTGAAGATGGCATTTTATGAGTATTAGGGTTTTGTGATTTTTGTTGAAGATGATAGTTTATGATTATTAAAGTTTTAGTTAAACACAAATTCTGAAAAAATATAGTTCAAAGAATTTAGTAAAATAAATGAGTGGATGAATTTATAATGATATATTTGTATTTTATTTTATATATGTCCGTTTAGGTAAATTTACATAAAATTAAAAATATAATATAATTATCATTTCAAAAGTGGATGTATATATAAAAATCGTGGATGTAAATAGCGCGACCCCTTTTCTTCATTCTTCCATTTTGGTATTCTGTCCTCTCTCTGGCGATTCCGGTCACAAGGACCACTGATTTCTTCAGATCTTTCTTGTTACTTTTAACGGTGTTACCGTATGTAGTGGGACCTGTAGTTCCGGCCAGTGATCTGGTTATTTTACAGTAGGGCTGCAGATATTTTGTGTGTTTTCGGCTGCGGGGTTTTGGTCTCTTTTTGGTTGGATTTTAGACTGAAAATAGATGCTACTCTTGAGTCCAGGTCAGGTGTCGGTTAGGTGATGGTTTTGTGAGGTCTTTGTTAGATCGGTGATCTGTAGATATTCTTGGTTGTGATCTGAATCTTGTACTCAAACTTTTACTGTCTCTTGGGTGGTTCTTGCATAGTGATGGGCTCCATTTTTGCCTCTGAGCCCCTCAGATTTGGCTTGGCCAAACTGGGTGAACAATTTACGGTGTTCTTTAATTTTTTGCACCGTTTTATTGCTGTTGTGGTTCGATTATTTGGTGATTATAATCATACATTGGGATAAAAATCCCAACAATATTTCTTTTTCTTTATTTTTTACAGCCACTGTTTGCTGGAGAAAATGCAGTTGGTCAGCTTGTAGAGATTATCAGGGTGTGCCATCCTTTGTAATTCTGTGATTCTATGGATCAGATTGCTATACCTGTAATGATCTCTTCATGTATACTAATTGGAAGGCTTTCTCTCTAATAGGTTCTTGGTACACCAACTCGAGAAGAAATTCGATATATAAATCCAAGCTATAATGATTTCAGGTTTCCCCAAATTAAAGCACATCCATGGCACGAGGTATGCCTGCACTTGCTACATGCTATTTAGAGGTACCATAAAATTTCAGTGCACGAGTGAATGAAACTGAAATGTTTGGTTCAGGTTTTCCATAAGCAGACGGAAAACCCAATGCTGCCTCCCAAGTGGTCGCCCTTTTGCCCTTTCTTCCTTCTTTTAACTTTAAACAGGAGGTATGGTTTCTAAACACCTTTTTCTTCTTCATGTGCTTCCTTGTGTAATATTGTTAGTACTTTCATGGTTTTCTTCCATCAAGTGGAGCTGGAGGCCCCTTTCTTAGTTTGTAAAGAAATCTTGAGGTTCGTGAATCTTGCAGTGCACTGCTATCTCTGGTTACTCTACTTTACTAATATCAGTCAGACCTAGCAAATGTGTCATGGCTTAAATAACGGGGATAGGGATGGAACTGAAGAAACCTTTTTACTACACAACTTACATAACGGGGATAGGGATGGAGAGGATCTAGTTAGTGCCCTCAAGCATGGTCAAGCCCCATTCTGCAGTTGTCAGAACAAAAGAAAAACCGAGGAAAACAAAAAGAAAAAATGAAGGCACATTTAAACTAACCTGAATCTTTCTCAACTGGAAGTGAGTCAAAGAAATCCGATAATAATTTAACTAGCTGTGAATATCACTGTAATTTTGGTGTCGAATGTCGATTATTCTTGAGGTTAGTAGCAAAACCAGTGTGCAGATAGGAGATCAATGACCAGAGTGTGGAAGATTTTAGGCAGCAGAAATGAGGATGGAAAGGTCTGAGACTTCGAGTATGGTTTGGGCATGGACTAAACATCCACATGAGCCATTGCAATAGCTTGGTCAAACAACGCCATTCTTTTTCCAAATGACAGCCACAAATAATAACCCACAAAAATGAGTATTTTATTTATTGGAAAATAGAAGAATAATAAAAATAATAATTTAACTTTAAGCTAATTTAAATCAACATGTCCTCAGCATATTGCTGTCCCCTTTTTTGATTAATCACTTGTCTTCATTGTCATCCGTGTCTCTCCACGTCCTTGCTTCATTGGTATGGACTAATAATACGTTGTACATCCTCAGAGAAGAAAGGAAAACAACTAGACTTGGGTAATTGATCAGCTACTGCTTGACGACCGAGAAATATGGATAATAAAGGAGAAAAATATTGAAAGTAGAGAAACAGAGGAGAGTAGTAACTTAGTTGGAAGCCTACAAAATTCTTGTTGTTTAGTAGTGCTTATTGATTGAAGTTGTTGGCTGTCGCTATAATGCAGTGATAATAATTGATGTTTTACTTCGTTTAAGCATCAGTTGTGTGTATAATTTTCTATTTTTGATTTGTGATTGAGATGTAAACTTTTTACTGTTTTTCTGCCATCCTTACCTTGGTAAGAAAATTCAGCTACTGAATTCGAAGAACTAGGGTAAAGACAAGCTAGAATTAATGCTGCATTTCCTCAAGAACCAGATGAGCATGGTTTTCTTCGCGAATATCTCCTCTCTTCTAAAAGTAATTAATGTGGAGCCTGAAAATTTTAGATGTTTCATTTATGATTGAGCTGTTAACTAGTTATCCATTTGCTGCTACTCTTGTCTTGAAAGCTATTTTAAATGGAACATTTATTTTGTTTCTGAGTTCAAATAATTTGCATGAAGACTAATTGAGCTAGAATTCTTATAAATCTTACTCTTTTGTGGAGCTCCAGTTGACATTTACCCATTTCTGTAATGTTCACCTGTTTTATCTGGCGCTGTTTATCTAATCTTGTAAGAAATTTTCTTGAATTTGCATAATATTTTGTAATGGAATTGAATCTGAATAAAAGTAGAGTTGTTTGATATTATATCTTTTAAGGGATTTAACCCTGAGGGGTAGCTCAATTGGTTAGGCTTTGAATTTGCTCTTCAATGGTCACAAGTTCGAGTCACTCCAGGGCCACTGATGTGAGTATCCGGCTGTAAATTTCAAGATCCCATAGGATTAGTCGAGGTGTGCGTAAGCTGGCCCGGACACCCATGGTTATCAAAAAAAAAAAATTATCTTTTAAGGGATTTATAAACCCTATTCTTCATGCTTTCCAATAGGACCTCGATATTTTTATGCTATAATTTGCTTTTGAAAATTTGTTGAGATTGACTGTCTTCAACTGAAGTGTTAAAGAGAGGCAGACGCGAACATGTGAAACCCTTTATATTACCTTCAAACTAAACGAAGCCTAAAACAACTTGTGTAGGAGTACTGAATGCGGTTATTGATTATTTAGCATCAAATTCTCTTGGCTGCAGTTGTCTGGAGCATCACTTCAGTTGATCTACTGGCTAATTCCCGAGCATGTTTAGAGACAAGCTAGTATGAGTATTCCACATTTTGCTGGGACGTGATTATGTTTATTGTACTCGTAGTGGTGTTAATGGGTATGCAGCAAACAAAAGGCTCTCTGTATTATGATCAAGTGTTTTTGCCATAGTTTGTGGTTTTTGACGCCCCAAAAATATGTTAGCATGTAAAATGGTTGTTAGGGTAAACTGGAAAGTTCGAATGTATAGACGTTCGCTGAGTAAAACGAGTTTTCATCACTTCTGTATATTTTTTGGGCAGCGCTATTTACATCCACGCTTTTTATAAGTACATCCACTTTTAAAAATAAAATTTTACTATATTTTAAATCATATATAAATTTACTAAATAGGCATAAGTAAATCCATTAGCCATTGACCTAATTGATAAAATGCTGACAGTCAATCCCGGAAAGAGAATTACAGTTGAAGAAGCTTTGGCGCATCCTTATCTTGCAGGACTGCATGACATAGCTGATGAGCCAGTATGCTCAAAACCATTCTCTTTTGATTTCGAGCAGCAAGTCTTAACAGGAGCAGATAAAGGATATGATTTACCGGGAGGCTTTGGCACTAAATCCAGAGTTTGCTTAATATAAACAGTCATCAATCCAATGGAATCTCCACCCAGTATTGACAGAGAATTAGCAGTGAAAAAAGAAAAAAGCACAGCCGTCGGGTCCGAAATATATAATGCGATATGTTGCAGTTGATTGGGCTGAGTTATATTACTTATTATATATATACATTGGCGGAGCAGTTTCGAGGAAAAGGCAGAATATATACACGCATAGCAAAAAAAAAACTTTGTAGGAATTGTGAGACAAGAATTGAGGGCTTAAACATACACAGAGACGGCTACTGGCAGCTAAAATTGGAACGCTTTTGGAACTAAAAATTGGGCGGCAGAGATATGGATGTTAGAAATGTATTTAAAGTAGGAATGAATATATAAAATTCACGTGGATATATATGGTATTTAAATGAATGGATTTAGTAAGGGCAAGATTGGAAATGACATGGATGCAAACAGTATTTTTTTAAATTTTAAAATTTTATTAGAGATGAACTTAGAGTGGGATGCACTTATACAAAGCGTGGATGCAAATAGTGGTACCCTATTTTTTTTTTTTGGTGGAAATTTAGGACAAATGACTGCGTTATGTTAAACTGAGCATATTTCGTTAAGGATCGAAATATCCCGAGGGGTTTTGTGTAGTATTTGTTGCTTTCACTTCTTTTTGTGTTATTTATACTGTGTTAGGTTGTTGCTCAACTTTTGCCATGTTTGACAAAACTTTTTGAGATTATAATTTGGTGGGTCTTATGAAATGTGTGGTTTAAAAGTGAATAAAAGTTGTGTGATTAAAAATGAAGTTTGATTAGCTCATTAAAATAAAAAAATAAAAAAAATGGCTTTTTCAAATGGGCTTTCTTACTTTCTTTCCACCAATCCCATTCACCTATTTAATGTTTGATAAAATGCTAATCCAATTCAGTTTAAACTATCAAACACGTTATACAGTACAAGTTATCAAATATAGAGTAAACTTCATTTTTAATCGCTAAATTTTCGATGAAATCTCAATTAGATCATTCAACTTTAATTTGTCTCACAAATCATTGAAATTCAAATTGTTCTCAATGTTAATTTGCTTGTTACTAAATTTAATGTTTCAATCCTCTATTAGTCGGCATAATTAAATGAAATACTTATTAGTCAATTTTTGACATTAACGTACTATAGTTACATTAAAATTTAGAAATATGAGCTAACACAATGACTGACATCGAAAGTAAATTGAAGTTAGCGACCAAAAATGAAATTAACTTTAGAACGACTGGAAAATTGAATATCAAAATCAACTCCACTTTCCTTAGGGCTGGACAAAACTTTCGAACCGAATCGAATCCGTACCGAACTGAATCAAATCGGTCGATTCTTCTTAAATTAAATACTCGAATTGATATCTGAATTGAGAACCGATGACTTCGGTTCAGTTTTCAATTCTAGATCAAGAATCAAAAAATTGAATAAGAATCGAATTTCCTATTTTTAATTTATTTATTTTAAGTAAGTCAAATTATTTTATTTTTTTCTAAATAAATTTGCTAATTAGTTAATTTAGCTCAAACCAAAAATATGATTTTTCCTATTTCTAATTTTCAGTCCAAGTACAACTTAATTAAATTGACATAAGTTTTACTCAAATATGTTATTCTAACATAATGTCATTCCTACTGTTCTGGAGAAATCGAATCGAAACTCAATAGCACCTCTCTTAATTATTATAAGCTCCCTATCTTCTTATTTTTATGATTTTAACAATTAAATTTATAAAGAACTCAGCAAAGAGACGCAAAAGACACATAAGATTGGGCTAAGTTATTTTATAAGAGCAAAAATTGAGTATATCATTAGTTGAATTAATGTAGTTCTGTAGATATTAAAAAATAATTATAGTACAAAACTTGGGAACTGAACCAAACTAAACTCAACTCAACTCAAACAATTCCATAATTAAATTTGGACCCGACGGTTATACTTGCTTAAAACTTGAAAATTTCGAATCCGGTTCAGTTCTGATTAGAACCGAATCGAACCGAAACATGCCCAAGCCTAGCTTTTCTTTGACTTGACAAATATGCAGCTACAACAATGAAATTTCTAAATAGGTTGAACCCTGTTTCCAAATTATTACTACACTAACTAAAAAAGGCATAAAGAATATATATTTGTCCACCAAATCAAGAGAAATCAAATTATTAGCCCTTGATCCATCTTATTATTGAAGGCCTAATGAACAATATGGAGAAGTATAAAGGCATAAGCAAAACTAACTCCCTTGTACAGTATAAGTGTTCACAGATGGCAATTATTATTAACTGTAAGATAGTAGAAAAAGGAAAACAAACAACATAAAAATGATTTATTTTTGGTCTTCACAATAAAAAATAAGTTGAAAACAAACATGTTCGTGTTACCGGTAATTCAGATTTATACTTCTAATAGACAAAAAATTCCAAAGTCTAAGCTTCCAATACTTCTAATTCAACTTAACAAAGTCGATCAAAATCACTTATGATCTACCATATGCTAGCAAAAAAAAATAACCAAATCTCTGTGAGAAAGCAAATGGAATACTCACAACTCCTACGTTGACTTTATCAGGACTAGGATCGGCGAGGAAAACCTTGGTGACACTGAGTATCGAATCCTTCGGAGCAAGCTACATGCTCTTTCACCATGAAGTGGACATGGATCGAACTGCTCTAGATTTGACAATCCGATCCTCACAACCATTGCAAAGTATCATTGCCATTGGAGAAGAGAACACCGGAAAACAAAAGCATCGAGAAGGTGTGTACATGAGAATGTTAAGTGGGTGTAAATTTATGAATGGGAGCGATTGACTCAGCAAAGTGCCAAAGTGTCAAGTGATTACTTAAAGAGCAACTTACAAAAATGATTGAATTTTGGTTACTTAAAGGGCAACTTAAAAAAGAATGATTGACTCGGCAAAGTGTTAAGTGATTATAGAACTTCATAAAATGATGTATCATTTTGGTAACCAGAAATGAATAACTATCATCTTGTTTCCTTCCCTTTCTTACTATGATTGAAAATTTCATGTATACTATTTCAACTTTCATTAGCTTAAATTATTATTTTTAATTTGCTTATTTCAAAAAGCTTCATTTTTGTACTAGTAATTTACTGATGCTTCGTATTGAAGACTGGTGTCAAGGGTAAATGAAGAGGATAACAAAAAAGGATAACAACATTCTCAGCTGATGAAGATTATTTATGGTACCAAAACATTTTCTTACACCCCAAATTCTAAATGTCGTCTAATTATGGATTTTGTGGCCACAAAATAACTACAGCACACTGCAACACAACAATGGAAGCCAAAAGAGTTTTAAAATCTTCGGAATGATAGCCAGGTTTCCTGCAACAGAAACATATAATAAGATTTAGAGATTAATAGTAAAATAGAAAATAAATTTTGATTAAAAAATCATTTTTTCTGTTCTCGTTAAGAACCATACCTTTTTGTCTTGTTCCACCTCGGTTATGCTTTAACAATAGTAAGTTATAATCTTCTTGAGCCTTATTAGAACATCTTTAGCACTGAGCCTCTCCTCAGGCAAATCACTCGTGCATTCTAGTGCTAGTTCCATGATTAACGTGAAGCAGCTCTCCTTAGCTCGAATATTATCTTTAGTAGCATTCACTAAATCGACATCCATTATCTACAGTATTGCGTCTGGGAATGATTCAAGCACCCATTTTCTCATTGTGAACTCTCCGCCAAACATATCATCTGTTGGCTTCTTTTTGGTAAACGTTTCCATCAACATAATCCCATAGCTATAAACATGTGTCGCAGTTGATACTAATCCACTTGATCCATACTCTATAAAATTGGAACGTGCGATCAAATTAGCTAGTGAAATGTTAAATGACGGATAAACAAATAAAAACTAATAAGTAATACATGGTTAAACTATTAGCATTTGAAGATACATAAGTAGATGATAGAAACCAATTACCTGGAGCCATATATCCAATGTTGCCCAACGTTTTGGTAATCGAAACTCTCTGGTCTTTAGTGAGAAGCTTAGCAATGCCAAAGTCTGCAACATGGGCAACCATGTCTTCATCTAAAAGTATGTTGCTTGGCTTCAAATCACAATGGACAATCGGAGAGGGATGTCCATAATGTAGATACTCTAGCGCAGATGCCACATCTATCATTATTTCCAATCTTTGAGCTAAATTTAGGAAATAGTTGCTTGAAGATAGCCATTTGGTAAGGTTTCCATTAGGCATATATTCCAGCACCAAGGCTTTAAGATCAAGGTTAGTGCAGCTACTAATTACCTTGACAAGATTTCTGTGATGAGTGTTGCATAGTATTTGGCACTCAGAATCAAAATTGTTGTTTGCTTTATCCAAATCTAAAGTAAACACCTTAATAGCAGAAATCATTCCATCAGAAAATACTCCCTTGTACACTGAACCAACACTACCTTTGCCAATCAAATTCTCTTCACCAAATTTCTTTGTAGCATCTAGAACTTCATAATATGAAATCCTCTTGATGGTGATGGGGGAAGTGGTCAGAACTAGAAGAAGTGTTTCCTTACTGTAGCATCTCATTAAATAAATCACGGTAATAGGAAGAATAATTACGATCGAAATTGATGGTAAAATATACTTCAAAACTCTAGTTTTGTTTGATATTCTGGTTGTATTATCTTTGCACGGCTTGACCTTAAATTGAGATGCTCCACACAATTCTCTATTGCCCACAAAAAAGTCTAACGTAAAGTTCCTAAAAGGGCCTTCATTTGGAATTTCACCAGTGAGTTCATTGAATGAAACATTGAAATACTCAAGGTACTCAAGTTTCTCCATTAACTTGGGGAATACACCATCGAGTTTGTTCTTTGATAAATCCAATAATTTCAATGAAATCAGATTACCAAACAATTCAGGTATAGGATCATGTAATTGATTGTTTGATAATGTTTGATTTTCCAAGTTCTGAAGTTGTCCTATAGTGCTTGGAATATCACCTGGGAATCGATTTCCTGATAGATATAACTCTCTTATGCTCTTAATGCTGTCAATTTTTGGTGCCAGCGACCCAATGAACAAATTATTAGCTAAATTCAAAAATCTAAATGTCCTTGTTATTCCATAGTGTGGGTCGGATAGTGGAATTCACTAAGTTGTAATCTAAATAAATTTCTCATAAAAACGTAATATTTCCTAAACAATTTGGCAACTGTTGAGAAAGCTGATTATTTCCCAAATCAAGATAATACAGATGTACCAAATCGCAAAGGAATCTAGATTTTATTATTGTGTCGTAAGGAAAAAAAAGAATCTGGCAGATACTGACCCTGCAGTTTATTGACACTGAGTATCAACATTTGCAATTTTCTTAATTGACCCAATGTGTCACGAATTCTTCCGATCAATTCATTGCCTCCAATGTCTAACTCAATTAAGTCGCTCAAATTACCAATTTCAGGTATTTGACCTTGAATACCATTGTTAAAAATGAGCAACCCGTAACATCCTGAAATTTTTTGAATAAAAATTTATTTATTCTATGTATTATTTATACTATTTCAAAAGTTGAGGGACTAAGATGTAATATATTTTTAAATTCTTATATTTTGGGTTAAATATGTGAATTTTGATGGATTGAGTATAAGTATATCAATATTATACTCGTTGGATAGCTCGTATTTAATTATGCATTTTAGACTTAAGAAAAAGTAAATTTGGACAAGTTAAACCCAGTGTATTTTAGTTTATAGAAGTTGTTATAAATTGATTTTTGATTTACAGTTAATATTGTATATTTAAAAAGCTAGCAGCCACTCACGTGCCACAATGGAGAATTTTTTTTAGTTTTGGTTTTGAGAATGTACAAGAATTTGCTGCCACGTTTTGGAAGTATTATATAATTGTATTTCTTTTGAGTTATCATGTATTACTTCTGGTCACGTGTAGTGAGATGTTAGATAAGGTAGGTTTATTTTAATATTTAAATGCTTTGATTTTATTTTTTTATTTTTTAACGAGGTGTCCCAAGTTGCGCCAGACTATATCCTCGTCCTTGAACCTCCGGCCCCTCAGCTGCTCAGGGAGGTAAATCGCAGGATGCGCCCTTATTGGTTCCCAGGTTCCCACATGACTTTTACTCCTTCCCCAAAGGGAGCCTCCTCCATGGTGATTAATCCACCAATAATTCTTCCTTTATTGGATCAAAGGTTCCCACCAGGAATCGAACTCCCCACGCTTGGTTTCAGAGCCTCCCAATGTGATTGTTCCGCCAACTTAGATGTGCCCTGGGGGGGCTTTAAATATTTAAATGCTTTGATTTTGGTGATTGAAGAGGTTGTCAATTAGTTGCATTTTAAAAAAACTATTTAATTGCCTTGATTTTGGGAACTAGAAAGTGGATAGAGCTTGATGAGGGGCAAGAGAGAAATTTGGAATTGATAGGTTGTAATTTAATTATAGCTATTCCACATTCAGTCACACGTTTCACAAGTATTAAGTGCTAATTGTTGTTTTATATTTAGTTTGATAAAGATTAACAGTTAAATTATCATGCTATTTTAATTAAGATAGCTGTAAATTGTTAATTAGGATTCAAATATATATTATATTATTATCTGATATAAAAGTCGTTAGATGAAACTTGAAATTTGTATATATCTACAGTGGAATCTTATCCTATTTTGATTATGATAAATATTAATTGCTAATTATAATCCTAATTTGATTACGATAGATGTATGTGGTTAAAAATAATTTGGTATTTTATTGGGATGGATAGCCACGTGTGACCCTATATTGGGATATGATATAGTTTAATATTAATCCTATTTTTATAAACTATTTCTTATACAAATAATTAGATTTTAATAAACATGGATGAAGTACATCAATATTGGATTCATTTTAAAGCTTGTAATTAATTACAGCTCTTTGATCTGAGGAATAGTCGATCTGGATAAATTTAAGTCTGAGATATTAATGTTTAAAGAAATTGCTATTTAATAATATTTTATTTGGATTTTAGCAATTGAGCCATCCAGCGGATAACTATTATTTTATTTTAAAAAGCATATCCAATACTGATTTGTTACAAAAGCATATAAAAATATTGAATTCTAATTTTTATATATTTGAAATGATTGGTTGGTTGATTTAAAAACCTATCCTAGTCAAGGCTTGAAACCAATTTTAAAACCAATTAACGGATTGATCACGTGCCAACCTTTAGCCCAAATTGATAAGTTTGATTTGATAGTTTTACTTTATCTACATATTAATCTATCATGATAAGTTTGTATGGCACACGTAACAGTAAACCCTATTTTTATTGTTTCAAAGCTCTATTATTTCAACTATAAATACCAAGCAATAGGCCCCATTAATCACTACACAAATTTCATATATTATATATATGTACGGTAGAGAGATAGAGAGAGATAATTAGAGAGTGAAAGAAAATAAAGGCACACTGCTCGATAGAAAAACAACCCAAGAGAAGAGAGAGTAGTATTGGAAATAAAATTTGAACCATGCTACACAAACATAATGGTTGGCATGCGGGATGATCGAACACTCACATCTCGGGGGTCAGACATTATTTTATTCACGCGGGGTCCACACTCCATGTGAGGGTCGGTCACCCATTCGGTCACCAAAATTCGGGCACTTCAGCATTTTTCATAAAGTTTTCATACAATAAATATTTTAATAACGTGTTTTTCAAAGCAGAGAAAAAATCTTGAACATGCATTCAGATTTCTCAAATGAAGTAAGATACATATGTGCAAGTTGTTTATGTTTCTATATGCTTTTACATGCAATTAAATATACATGGATTGCTAGTAGACCTTCGGGTTCTAGAGAAAGAGATATGAAATTCGTACGAGAATTTAAGAGCACCTAAGATGAGTGTATCGTTTAGTCGTCGATATACTCCATAAGAGAAGAGCGGTATGAAGTGTAGATTTTATTGTTATGTAATTGTATATGAAAATTGGACATATCTTACTTGGTATTTTTAAATACTCAACCCTTACATTAATTTTTTAGATTTGTGCGGGTCGATTGGAACAGTGGCAAATTGTTGATGCAGGCTGCCAATGGATCAGAGGAAAATAAAAAGAAATAAGTTTGTCGTCTTTAAATTTACCAGTTAGTTTAATTTGGTTCAAAACATGTTATTTGATTTAGTTAGAAGTTTATGTTATGTTCAAATACAATTTTCACGGTTTAAATTTAGATTTTTAAATGTTACAGTTATTTGTTTAATAAAGAAACTTTATTTTTATAGTTCTGCATTTAAATAAAGAAAAGTGAGTTTTTCGTAACGTTTCAGTGTTTATAGAATAATTGGGGCATTACACAACCCCTTCAAATTTGATAAACTGTCAATTGAATGCGGAATAGTACCTGTATTGTGGTGTTTGTCAACACAAATTAATGAATACCAAAAGTACTGATGAGTTGTAGGGTAGTTACCTGTTAAGATACTAGAATCCAAGGATAAAAATTGAAGTGCAAAAGAGTTTCCAATTTCATATGGAATGCTTCCTGTGAGTACATTTTAGGATATTAAAAATTGAAAGAAAAAGTAAAATATTTAAAATTTTATATAAAGTAATAATACTGAAATTATAAAGATTAAGTAAAATCAAAATATAAAATTCAAATATATTACTGAAATAAGAATGATACTAGAATGATAATTGTATAAAATAATTTAGAATACTTAATTATTTAGTAAACGAGGTGCTGCATGCAATAGGAACAATATACAATAATAAAGAATAAACCTAAAACCGTGTTAATTCTTAAAATGTCCGTGAATCTAGAAAATGAATAATTGGTTGATCCACAATCAAATGTCGAATAATTGATCTAGGTTGACAAATTGTTAATTCCATAGAAAAGCATTTCAGTTAAAAATTGTAAAAGATAAACTCTCACCACGTTTACAATATTTTAATCAAATTACTTCGAAGTACAAACCTTATCTTTGCAGCTAACAGAGAAACACCAAATCATTAACCATAACAAAATTACATCCTAGGTCTTCAAACTACCAAAGTAAAAAATTAATCCAATTAAATGAAAAGATTATAAAATGCTGACTAAACATTATAATGAGGCTAGCCACTAGCAGTATCCATCTTCATCCCATGTTGATTGGGTACATAGGATTTTATGTTTGTATTTCCAGTAAGTAATAGGTGTATGCCATACATGCTAAAAAACATTTGTCAAAAGAGTGTAAAATGTGGAGGTGGTAACCTAAAAAGTGTGTCTAGGCATGAAAATGGACCTTGGCGAATGATCGCCAACCTAAAAAGTGCGTCTAGGCATGAAAATGGACCTAGGTGCATGATCACCATACTTTACAATTTTTACGCCTAACCCGTTTAGTTTCGTAAAATCATAAAGCTTGGTCTTGACACTTAGACATGCTTTACACTTTTTAAAACATTGAATTAAAATATATAAAATAAATGTAGGAGATCTAGATACGAACCCATGAAACCATTGCATCTCAAATCTCTCTCTCTCTCTCTCTCTCTCTCTCTCTCTCTCTCTCTATATATATATATA